ATATATATATATATATATATATATATATATATATATATATATATATATATATATATATATATATATATAAGCCACTTCTTAATGATATTGTTTTCAATGTTATAAAATCAACTTATGAAGACTTTTGTAACGAAGAATTATTATATCACTGCTTCATAAAACAGTAATAAAAGTTTTGACTCAACTATGTGGACAATTACACCATAAATTCTATTGGAAAGATAACTATAGATATTGTAATATGGATATCGCTGTTTGTAACTTTAATGATAGCTTCACAAGCCTAATAAAAATCATGCAAGTCTGTTAACTATGGGCCACAATTATTCTAATTTCTGTGCGGAGGCAGACGCGCGTTGTATCCAAGCGGCCGAGCGCTCTATGACGCACGCTGCAAGAGACTCGGCCTTAAAATCTGTATCTATGATAAGAAATAAAGAACAATGAATGTAGGAAATTTCTACGCAAAAAAAACGGATGAGGCCGACATAAATATAGAAGAAATTTGTAGTCCAAAAATTGCAAACTAAAGATAAATTTGCGATTTTATTATTTTATAAGCAAAATATTAGTAACCGAAACTTTAAACACGATTTTGAAATCACTTAAATGACATTTTTACAATCGATGTTCTCCATAACTTTTGCAACTTTTGTCCGATTCACTTGCAATTTGTATAGTATACATGTATTCTCTGTATGTGTATGTATTCTCTGTTGTATAATATAAAGAAATTTCGCGATATATTAAACGACAAGTAAACGATGTGTATCTCAAATCGGTCGAGCACAAAACGAGATAATTTATTTAAAAGGTTAGATCATCTTTCAGACCTAAAAATGATACTTGACTTTGGCAATTTTTTGTAGAAATCAAGTGACTTAATTGAAAACTGTTTATGAAGGCTATACTCATTATTTTTCTTACAATTTACATTTTTATACTGCAATTTGAGGGATAAAACGCGATTTTTATTTTCACATGTTCACTATTTCTACAAAACTCAATATTTTTTAAAAATTCAATGTATTTTTTTAGTTTTTGATGTGTAGATAATGAAAAATTTTAGTATTCTATTCTAGTCAATTGGCAATTATTTCATGTAGCAGCAATGGAAAACATTGCAGGAATGCCCATCTGAAATAGAGATTTGGTAATGCAATTTTAGCGCCACCATTTTGTATATACACGGCAACAAATTTATTTTTCGCTACTTTAAGCTTGAATATAGCCTTTATGAACAGTTTTCAATTAAGTCACTTGCTTTCCACAAAAAATTGCCAAAATCAAGTATCATTTTTAGGTCTAAAATAATGATTTAAATCTTTAAGTAGATTATCTCATTTTGTGCTCGACCGATTTGAGATGCACATCGTTTACTCGTCGTTTACTCTCTTTAGGGGTTATATATATACCTTTTGCAACGGCGGTGACTATCATCAATGTAACTTATTGTATATGTAAACAGGGACATCCAATCCGATGTCACGCATGACCGCTTTTAATGTAGTTCACGTTAAATTAACAGACAGTTATTGAAATTGAAATTGCATATCAGCTTGGAGGTAGCAGCACACCGTTTATCTATGGAGACAGCAAAATACGTGTGTACCGCACACACTGACATAATTGTATCTCAATACAGGCAAAAATAAAGAACAACAAATGTAGGAAATTTCTATTTCAATATCAGAAAGCAAAAATTCGCGCGCAACGTAAACGACATTGCGCAAAAAAGAAATTTTTAACGTTTTAAAGTTGCCTCCGTAAAATAATACGTAAAGTAATAGTCGCATTATTATACCTAAACGTTCACGGACGTGTACGACGTTAGCATGACCTGACAGTTAGCATTGAATTTTCGCAGCGATCTTGTCCTACTTGCCAGTAGAGCATCTTGGTTCACTTGAGTGTAGATAATTAGACTGTAGGTAATTAAATGTGATAGAGCATAAAATGCCCGTTCCGATTGAATACTACAAACTTAACGCTCGTTCCTTTCCACTACAAAGCGTGAGAACACCTTTCTTTCCTGCATACCCGACCGAACAGAGTGCAATGCCACATTATTATCTCGCGACTGCGCTTTCTCAGATATTAAATCTGTTTTATATCTTGCACTCTTTTACACTTCCTTACTGAAGTGAAAAGAATGAACTTACCGAGACATTAATGGAAACGAATAATTTCCAAGTACAATTCAATACATATTAAAAGACATTCTTTTGTGCTCCATTTAATTATCTCGATATATCGAAGTTATATATCGATGTTAAACACATCTATATTTTACGTATTTTTAATTAGATCATGAGCAAAATGAAAGCACATTTATTATTTTAAAACAAGTAGCTTGTTTTAATTACTGCGACAATAATAATGTCAGAAACTGACCCAAACAACTAATTCCGCGGCTCTATCCAATATTACCCCGCGTCATACAAACAAGACAAAATTCGAAGAGAAAGTTTTAGCGTTATATTTTCTTTTTCTCTGATTTTAGGAAGAAGAAGGAACACCTATGAAATTTCCGAATAATTAGAGATAGCTTCTTCTCGTATCTGGGAGAGTTATTTAATGAAACACACAAGAATTACAAAACTTTACACAAACTTTTATTATGACCGATATTTTACAACATGCGACAGCACAGCTACGCGATTAATTAGTGTTCGTATGTGTGTTTGTGTTGTATATATTCGTTGTGTTGTGTGTGTGTGTGTTTACATCGTTGTGTGTGTGTGTGTTTACATCGTTGCTTAAGGCATAGCATAATATACCCTCGTATAACGTCTTAAATAGAGATGTAAGTTAGTAGGTGGTCATAGGTTAAAAGAAATGAAATTTGAGCAGATGTATATGGGATTTATTTTCCTCGCATGGAGCTTCTTCAGCAATGCGGGCAGCGTATCATACCAAAAACGTCACACTTGGCGCACTTTAGGGCGACGAATTCCACTGTAAACTCGTTGCGATGCACGGACCTTTTGCTACCGTGACAGACAGGACACAGCAGCCGCTGGAATCCGCCGCAGTAGGTACAAACAACGCACGCGTCCTTGCACTGAAACGTAAGTGTTTCGTAATGATGAATTATGAAAGTGTCGTAGAGTAACAATTAGTAACGAAAAAATTGAGTGAGTTGCGTGGTCGAACGGAAAATTTCCGTCAAATTTCGGAATTCTCTTCCGTACGCAGGTAGGTTAAATCTATCGACAATTGTGTAACAGCGTTACATCATTGCCGTATCAGCATTGCGTAAATCTTTTAGAGGTGAATTAAATAAATTCCACGCGTGCACGACAACGATGTTCGCGAATAGGCTTTCCGTTCAGCCTTATTCGGCGTTACGAAACTATAGTTTTCACTTTCACTTTTACTTACTACTAACCGCGAGTTAGTAGCCGCGACTCTAGCCTACCTGAAATGTAAATCGATTTTGTAGACATACGTAACGAATTCGGGCGGAGTGTAACTACCGCGCGTTCTCTCGTGCCGAATATATTTAAACTCATTTACTCTCTTAAAGATATGCTGAAATCGATAACAAACTCGAAAAATGTCGATAACGCAGAAACGGTTGTCACTAACATAATCGCGCTATTTTTTTAGTATTTCTTGTACGTGAAGAACTTAGGTAAAAATGTGTTTTCACCTTTTGCTTTGTTTTACCATGTTCAATCTAACTACGTATGTGTAGAAATCTTTCTGCAAACTTTTCAAATATTCTTAAGCTTCTGAATTCAAATGCGAAGATATAGCAAAGTTCTTCAAAATTTTTCTATTTGGAGCATCCACATTTTCAGTACAAGTTGCGGAATTTTTAGATTAGGCAAATATTAGGCTAATTAACAGCTTGAGATTTTACATTAAAAAATTTTTTTCGTTTTCGTCATATAGCAATGTTCCTATTTATTTCTGCACGTATTTTCACGTAAAAACATTTGTAATTCTGCACAACCAATAAACTTTGCAGAAAAATGATAACATACTATCGTTAAAGTTTTCAGCATCCCATTAAGTAATGCGAGAGACATGATGTACTTGACTGTGCGAAAATAAAACGAAAAACATAAGTTGCGCGCTAAGTCAATATATAATTTATTCTTAATCCTTTCACTTGTTTAACAACATAAGTTTTACGATATATTTACTAGTATATTTCGGAATTTCGATAAAAATTCGAAAGCTGCATCGAGCTGTTAATGCACGCAGTAATCATCGGAAGTATTATTGTAATCGGTTAGGAGTTTTTCATACTTCCGTGCTTTATCTAACGAAGAAAATATTGAACACTCAAAAAAATTATTCTACGTACAAAGTGAATTTTCCTCTAACCCTATGTTCTAAAAGAAATATCTTACAGAAAACATATTCATCTTTTATTAAAGAGAACCATTCATCATCCATTTATGAGATATTATTCTAATTGTGTTCCTCTATATCTATATCTATAAGAGAAATATGTTAATTTGAAGCACAATGCCGTTTTACGTGCAGTACGAGAGACGCGAAGAATTGTTGTTTCGCTGCGTACTATCGTACGATTGGTTGAAACTAAGCGCCACGCTCAGAGCTTCCACCGTCAATTCACTGTCGACGTTTCAATCAAATCGACGTTGAAATTATCAAACCGACATCAGTTTAATATGATTTTGACGTTAATCAACGAGTCATTTTTCACTGAGTATATAGATGTCACAAAAATGAAGTCTTAAATAGCTCAGTGGGAAGAGCACACAAGCAAGCACCCCGGTCAAAGTTTCCTGATCTTTCTTTCGTGTGGATGCAATAAAATTTATTAAATCCAAAGAAACATTTTTGAGTTGAAATAATATATAAGAGAAAGTTTAGATTAAGAACAAATAGATTTGCACTGCACATTCAATATAAAATTCCTCTATCTTTGAATTATCTAAGAATTGTGTTTAAAATTATTTTTCTCTTGATTTCAAAGCAATCCTCTTGAGGCCATATACAAGAGTAAAATTCTCTAAGATTTAGAGAATTTCACTTCTATTAAAATTATTATTTTTGGGTGAATATTTGTATTAAATAAAAATACAATTGAATTGTTATCAGTGATTGTTGACGTGACCTCGAGGATCTTGTATATGTAAGAGCACCGTTGACATATGACAAAAATACTAATGACTACGTGAATATAAATTTAGTTGCAAAATAAACCTGGATCACAGTATATGTATAACCAGTAGCGTCACTTGGTGGAAACAGCGTCAAATAACATGGCGTCAAATAAAAAACAAACAACATAAATTACCCACGTAGTGCAATTAGTTACATACACGTTCTTTAAACATATACTATACGATTATAAAACATTATATACATTTAAAGAACGTATATTAAACTAACATATATTATCTGAGTAATGACTGTCTATAATAAATTGTAAATTGTAGCTTGCAAATGTTAAGAATTTAACATATACTAAGTGTATATCTTATTAATTTAAATAATTGTTATATATACAATATTGTATTAAATAAAAATTTTTCTAAATAAGCTGCAACAGCCAACATTATTATTAACTAAACGCACGAGAAAACTGCATAGTCGTATTTTGCATATCTCGTGTATATATGTGTATGTGTCTCTGTGTATATATATCACAGCAGAAATAAGAACCCTACGTGTGTTTAAGGGTCTGAAAATCGTGCTTGTTCTTTCATAATTTTTTATGACAAATTGAATGAATATTTTGACGTATATTTATACAACAAATTTGAAATGTTATTTTGACGTATATTTATACAACATATAAAGAGAAGAAAAGTATAATTTTGATGATCAAATACTCAATATAACTGTATGGTACATGCAGTTAAAATATATTTTGTTTTTCTTTTCAAGGTCGTTATTTTGCAGTAATATCTTATTCTCAGTGGTTTAATTAAACTGAATTTTAGGTAGAAAATTTCCGTAAGCTTGTCGTTATCGTAAATCACTGACAAACTCGTGAAAATATTTAATTTTAAAATATTAATTTTTTTATTATACTATAAATTTTTTTACTATAAAAGAACAGAAAATTTAATAATATTCCATTAAGATATTTGCAATTTTGTTAACTTTTACTCAATTTCTATTATAGTGCTTTACACGATAACGACGAGCTTACGGAAATTTTTTAGCTAAAATTTAGCTTAATTGAATTACCGAGAGTCAAAGATATTATTGCAAAATGATGACCTTGAAAAGAAAAACGAAATATATTTTAACTGCATACATATACTTATATTGAATATTTGATCATAAAAAATATATTTATCTTCTCTTTATATGTTGTATAAATACACGTCAAAATAACACTTTCGCATATTCTTTCAGTTTGTCATAAAACATTGTGAAAAATCAAGCACAATTTTTAGACAATCTGACTCTCCACTCCCCTTAATAAGATCAACAGTTTGTAAAGATTTCAGTTTATCTAATGAAAGGTTAAATCGGTTCAGCCGTTTTATTGAGAACATTGTAAAACGATTAATATATTAATATTTTAAATAATAAAACATTAAATAAATACAGCCTTCCTATTATGCATTATTCTATTATACAGTATCCTATTTATCCTATTTATACAGTATTAGAAAATCTAAAGTAAAAGCTTAAAAGAACCACTAATTTAATTTTAATAAAACTTAATCTTCCCCCTTTCCGCTCAAATCCACATACACAACTATCTCCCCCACAAACACATAGATACACAATCCTTTTTATTTTACTCTTTAAATACAAATACTCTTTTCGTTTTATTAGATGTATTTTTGTGGTAGTTCTTTTAAAATCTCACTTTATGTAATCTACCAAAGTCCTCCCGTCTCCATATACACAGTTGTTTACACCTCTTTCCTTACGCACACACATATACAAAACACCTTTCTTTCTCCTTTCTCTAAAACCTCCAGAAATACGTTTTATAATAGCTTCATACATCAACAAAATTTTTATACATTATGTTCTTGCTGAATTTTTAAGAAGTTCCTGAAACACTAGAAACTTTTTAATAGCTTTATCATATTCAAGAGATCAGAAACTATAAAATTATAATTATACTATTTTGTTTATTACATCCTTTTGAAAAAAATTGGTCTTTTTTACATGCTTCTTTATGCAACTCTGAAACTTAGCTCTATTTATTATATTTTATTTAAGATATGTCAAAAATTGGAGATTTACTATTTCCAGTGGGGATATGTATGACGAAGAATAATTTAAACCAATTTGATACTTTTATTTAGAATAGATATGTGTCGATAACCCAATGAGAAAAGTAAGATATGACGCCCGCGAAAGTTATTAAAATATGAGAAAATTTTTATTCAAAATTATATTGTTGTAAATATTTATTGTTGTATTGTTGTAAATATTTATTCAAAATTGTATTGTTGTATTTTTGTTGTATTGTTGATGATGAGTAGAAAAAAAATAAAACAATGTTCTTCGTAGTTTTTTATCTATCTGAATACAATAATTTTCATTAATAATGTTGTTAAAATAAGTCTCAACTAAAAGTGATAGGGAATAGATACTCTATTAGCTGCCACACCAAAGATATGAAAAGATATATCTTGTGAAAAAATATCTAAGAGCATCCAATTATGTTGGAAATCTTAATTATAAAATTATAAATTATAATATTCATCCTTTCAATAGCCAAACATTGCCAAATTTTACCTTTCGAAAAAGTAATAATTATAAGAAATATTTTCAATAGAATAGAAATATAAGTGAAATTTTAAAGCAATATGCGGAAAATGACGTTTAAATGTAACATATTAAATGTATAAGCAACTATGGTTAAAGATGAAAGCTTCATTGAATAATTTCAAGATGAACGAATAACGTTTCATTAGTAATTTCGAAATTATGGAACTGTTGATATTTGAGTGATGATAATGAAAAGAATATTAATAAAAATATAAAATAATCGACTTAAAAAACTTCTATTTATACATTTTATAACAGTTTTTTATCAATACAGAAATCGCGATTTAATTTTTTTGTTGATATCCATTGATTCAAACATTTCAATCTACTGTG